AGTGTTAGGCCGCTCTTCAAAGTCCATCATTACCTGGGCTGATCCCTGCCGAGTGTAACATCGCACTGTAGATGTGTAGCGGGTATCCCCACTCCTGTATATCATGGCAGAAATCTCTCCATCATTTTCATTGCTTGTGTATACAGGCTCTTTAAATTGCATCTTAGGCACTAGATAGATAAACAGAGATAAATATAAATATATAGAAAAATGTTACTTGCTATCTCTAAAAATTTGTGTTATTGTGTTATGTGACACATTATATAAGGTGTATGATGGACTTTTTAGTAGGTAGCAATTGATCTATATAGTACAGTACATTTTCCATAACAGAAAGGGTGAAATTTTGGCCTTACTGATTTAAGTAGCAAAATTCCTATTGACTTATGGATTGCATCTGAATTCCTTGAATGGACTGCAAGTTATGGTCTTGATTCTGATTGCCATGTGAGATTCTGAAAGTTATGGTCCTGATCCAGATCTCACGTGGCAATACACGAGGAATTTTCACTGGAGTATGTATAATTACATTGGTGTAAAAAAAAGTGTAAATGTGCATATGGTCAGACCTTAGGTGCATTTTTCCTATGGTTTGGGGGCAATGAGTGAGAAATATTACACCTGCCTTAAAGTGTGGTAAGGCTGGTAAACACCATGGAATTTCATAATGATCATAAGAGGTCAGGGCTACTGTTTTACATCTTATTCAAAAGATCACAACTTCAGTAAGGTCATGATTCTCAGTGCCATTCCTGGATACTAGGTCTATTGGGATAAACTTTATCGTATAAACAGGTTTTTTTTGCATTAAGTTAATATGTACTTACAATCAGAGACTGAGTCATTGATGAAGACAGTGGCTTTGCTTGGTTCTCCAAGGGTGGCACTCATGGGCATTCTTAGCACAAGCTCAAACTTCTCAACTCCCTCTAGCACTGGCTGTCCAAGGTCATCCAGAATGACCACACGGAAAGTCTGCATGTTAACTCCGGGTGCAAAATCCAAATTACGGCTGATACCTACATAATCTACCCCAGCTACAAACAGAAACAGAATTTGAATCAACTGACTTTCACTGAATCTTATTAAAGATATAGATATAAATAATAGATACATAGCTGGGAGACTGATTTTTAATAACTCATAACAACATCAATATTTATGTCAATAAATGTTTTATTTTTTACTGTTCATAAATTTAAAACTACTTTTTTGTTGTAATGGAAATAAAGTGGCTTGGTGTTAGACAGACCATTTTTATTTACTGGTAAGAACTATACCAGGCTTGATTCTGGTCTTCTTTTTTATCCTCTTGTTGTTCAAGATTAATGACATATAAGTAAATAGAATCTGTAACTAAGAGAGAATTAGAGCTTGGGACCAAAAACTGTTTTGGAAGAGGCTCCAGGAAAGAGAGGAAGATTCTTTGGGAAAGAAAGCTAATATTATGCCTGTAATTCTAAAGGACAATGCTACAGATTATGTGATTAGTATAAAAGAGGAAAGCAAAGAGGTCAAGGAACTGATTGAAAGGAATTAATGGTGTTCAAAGGAAACATAGCAAGAATGAAAACCCAGTGTAGGGAGGAGCGGAAAGCAAACAGACTTCCCTGGCTAATGGTGATTAAAAGTCCAAGAGGAAGTAAGAAGAATCACATTAGGCCCAGATAATGTCAAGTGGGGCCTGGCACACTTCAGTTGCAAAGATAGGCTGATTTGAGTTTGCTTAGGAATAAAAAAACAACTAGAAGAAAGCCCAGGAGACAGGATGCTGAATTACATGAGGACACAAGGACATAAAAAGTATATCTACATCTTAGGTGTACAGCAATCCTTTATGTGACTTTCTGGGAAGACCATTATATAGCAGAACGGATTACAAATTTTCTATGGTGACACCGAAAGGAATGGGAATTTCAGAGTGCAGCTGCAAGATTCAAGGAGCTCCAGTTTGTAGGAAATTTTGAAAACATTTGGTTTTGATTTAACTTATGGCAAACCAAATGGATCTTCATTATTACCAACATTTGCCATAAAGCCGACACCTTGCTTTTCAGTCAGCTCTGGTATGCAGCCTGCTGTATTATTTCAATAAGCTCATCACTGAATTGATTGAAGTTCATAGGCACATTGTTGAAAATAACCCCCCACATTCTACTTAACAGGTTCTCTAATGAATTATGATTCTTCCTCCCTTGATACATAGATTCTGCCATTACATTTTTTCTGGAACTAAAATGCATCCAGGACAGGATTCCTCTAAGTAGGCACTGAAATTTAAGCAGGGCAATACTTAACTTTTGAGCAAATGACCAAGGAGGTTGACTAAAAATGACTCAGGCTTTTAGGATCCCTATGAAGTCAAGGAAGCTGCAGAGAAAACTAGCTTTTTGATGCATCTAGGTGCTCTCCATAGAGAAGAGGTAGTGGAATATATCTCTTAAAAAGGTAATTCAAAAAGCCCAGAGGTATTTAGAGGTAGCCCATGGAAAGCACTGAAGCACAAGAATGTGTCTGAACTCTCACTCCTTTTAAATCTACCCATCACATATTTCTGTTTACTTGCAGTTCACACCTGATTACACCTTTGAGAGTTCTATGTACTCAGTTACCAGAGATAGGTGATTCAAGATGATGGCAGTGCTGATGCTGACCTTTTTTCAATAGCTTAGTAGTTAAAGCATTTACCCAGAACATGGGAGGTATGGGTTCTAGGCATAGTTTATAAGCAGTGCTGTGAATAAACAAGAGGAAGCCTGCCTTTATAATCTAGTACTTAAAGATCTCCTGAGGATGTGGTGCGGAGTCTCTGCCGCCAAGCACATTTCAGGAGATGACTCTTTAATGACAAATGCATAATTAGTGCAGGAAGCCTCCTACATAGTTTAGTCATTGGGAGAGGGAATTTGTGGGTTCTGATCCCTGCTTCCTACAGCACTGTCTACCCATTTTATTCTCAAAGGAGTGCTTCAATCACTAAGCAACAGAGACCAGCTCCTTTTAGCTTGTTCTCCTTTTGGCCTTATGATTCTTGCATTTTTGTCTGGCCTGTGGGTCACCTTCAAGAGTGTAGGGGAGGGGAGTGCCCCCACCTAGTCTTTTCTATAGCTTGGTCCCCATGGCACCCTCAAGTGCAAGATCTGAGTGCAAATCCCTTCAGGGACCTAGATACCAAGTCTCTCATGCTCTAAGCCCTAGTCCAATGAGCATGAAGATGGGCAGTGACACCACCATAGGTTTTGAATCAAATGCAGGGCTGTAGATGAGAGTTGGTTGTAGTTTTATAAAGATAAGGGCATGACCCTCTCCTAGGACTTAAGCAGAGCTTGGCCAGTAAGAATTGCTTTAGAACTTAGTACGAGATTTTGATGCTGAAGCACATACTCTGACTTGCAGTGCCTGAGCGCGGCTGCTTAGGAATTCCTGTAGTTCTAAATGGAGGCCTCTACTGATTTTGGCACATAATGTGTTTTTAGGGTATTGGCACTGAATCCGTTTCAATAATTCTGAATAATTTCTTAGGACCCAAATGTCCAATTCATACATTTCTCTCAGTTAAGTAGCTACTGAGGCAATTTGACTTTCAATACTTAGGATGAGGTAAACTTGGCAGACCATAAGATAAGAATTGAAATAAACAGACATTCTTTTTAGATATCCTGCTAATCTCATTTTCCATGCGAAAGCACAAGAATGTGCAAAGATGTACTGATGTTAAACACTTGAATTCCATATCTACCTCACATAATAGTAACATTTAGATAATTTGGACTATTTTAAAATTATTTCAACTGCTAACACAAATGCCTGTTTATGCACAATGCAAGAACCTAGGAAAATGTGTACTCTTTATGTGTACTTCTTTACATCCAAAGAAAGCCTTGGAAGCTTCTTCCTCCAGATACTGATTTAGAACATGAACATGCAGCCATGCAGACAAAGGTTCTGAGAAAGCTGCAGTGAGCCACAACTGAGGCTGCTGCACATGCTACTTGATACTCAACAGCAAGTAGGGCAAATTGAGGTGAGTAGGTGATGCAGACGGATGAGCCAGCCAGAACCCTAGCCCTAGAATTCACTGCAAGACAATGAGCAACAGACTATGAGAGACAGCATATGAATTTTTGGACCCATATCTGTCAGTGCTGGACCTGATAACTGGCTTTGTTACCATTTCTTTCTAAGTGCTGCATTTTAATGCTCTCAAATAAACCATTATTTTGACTTAGTGTGTGTGTCTACATGAGATGCTACATTGCTGTAGCGATAAGCTAGAGCAACATAGCTCATTGCTACAGCGATATAGCATTGGCGGGCACAAACCACGGTGCTGATGCTACACTGCCGTAGCTTATAGCTACGGCGATGTATCAACGAAAAATTACTGTGCATCACTGGGACTGCATAGTACCAGAGGGTACTGAACAGTCCCAGGCACGTGTAGATGTGTTCAGTGATCAGAATAATCAGTAGATCTAAAACAGAAGAGTATGCTTGCCTGTCAATTATATTGTGTTTAGTACTAAGCAGCTTCATTCACTCAACTGAAACTAATGGGAGTTGAGGATAATCAACACCTCCCCATGACTTTCATTTTTTAGATTGCATGCAACACCTAGCCAGACCTTTTCACGGTTCCTTATCCTGTCCATGTTACACCCAGTTTACTAGGAGTCATCTCACTGTGAGCACGGGTTTTTCCTTATTCTGCTGAACACTCCACCCATACCTTTCTCCAGATGATTGAGGATCATCTCTTATGAAAGCTCATTGCAAATACAGGTGTGCAGCACCTGGCCTGGTAGTCCTGTGGGCCATTACAAGGGCTATACTTGAAAAAATTGTGGGCATTAACCCATCTAAATTAATCAATGCTCCATGTTAAGAGAGATGAACAAAAACTGAAGCAGGAGCACAACAATTACTCACCCTCTGCAGTTACCGGTTCAGATTTGCGAGACCTCACTGTAACAGTAGCAGATTTAGAGAGATCTGTTCCTGTTCTCCAGACGTGCACCTCAACGAAGCCAGCACTTTCATCTACATAGTATTCATCATCTCCAAAGTAGAAAGCTGGTTCTAGGAAAAAACAAACAACACCTGTCAACATGTTGAAGTCTTTTTTTATATATATATATATATATAAAATGAGAGAAGAAGAATGGTTCACTAATTAGGATGCTTGCCTGACAGGAAAGTTGGGTTTTATCTCCCATCTACCACAGATTTTCTTTTGGTAAATTTCTATGTGCCATGTTTCCTCATTAGTCAAATGGAGATAACAGTATTTCCCTGCTTTTTGCTGGGTATACATTAATTAACGTAAGACATTCAGATATGATAGTAATGAAACAAGACACAAATCACCATTGGCCAGTCCTGCCTATTTTTTTTTTTAATGAAATATTGCCTCTTCCACCAAATTTCAACCTGGTGATAAGTTCTAGGTGTAATTTTTTTATTGCTCTGCAGCTATTCATATTCTTAAATTATACAGAAAAAGGATTTCTTGTTTTAAGTTTAGCATATTTTACTTATGGTAAAATGCTGAATATTATAAGGACCCCTCTACATGTGCAGGTAAAGGAGAAATGGAATGTAATGCAGGCTCCACACAGTTGCACCTCCTGCCATTCCACACATGCATGGCCAGAGGTGCGATTGTGGAATCGTGCATTAAATGCCAGGCTCCCCCTGCACCAGCAAGATACAAGCTCCTGCAGCTGGGAGCCCCCTCAGTTGAAGGGATCCCAGCCATGGGGGTGCCCTATGTATGCCCAGGGCTAAGGAATCATGGCTCCTGCAATCTCCCAACCCCATGGGTTTCATGCACCCCCAAAGCTGGAAGATCACAGCAGCTGCAATCCTACAGCCCCAGGGTTTCATGCACTCCTGAGGCAGCCATGTCCCCTGACTGCTGGGACCCTGTTGAGTCCTGGCACCCAGTGTCCATAGCTGCTGCTGTCTGGGTCCCTGTGCTGCCCGGACCCAGAGTCAGCAGCTGCTGAGACTGAGTCCCCTCAGTTGTGTGATTCCCAGCCCTGGCCAGGCATGGTACATCCCCATGGCTGCCAGCCCTGTCACCTTACAGGGCTCCCAGCCCCAGGGAAGACCCTGCTACATGTGCTAATTAAAGCTTGATAGCTACCAGCTATAAAGTTAGCACACATTTTTGAGGTCTAACTTTATAATTGGTTGGAACTTTTATGGCGTGATAGCTACTTTGTATGTGTAACTGGTCTCAAGGTAATTGCACAATTAACCAATTAATTGCACAATACCTGTAAGGTGTTGAGAGGGCCTAAGGAGTGAATAATTATGGTGTTATAGAAATAAATATAATACTAATATAAACCCTACTGGTTGTAATCTATTCTACAAATGTTTATTAATGTTAAAGAGATGTATTACTCTGACATATATAATCTTCACTATATTCTACACAAAGATATAAGACATTTTAAAGAAAGGTAATGAATACAAAAATCAAAATCCTTTTTGACCTTTTCTGACCCATCATGACTAGCCATTTCACCAGTAATTTATGTTCATTATTTCACTATTACAATATTCAATTTAATATATTACCCGGGTGGGGGGAGAGGGTGACTTTGTATACGGTATTCTGAAGATGCACAAACAATTTAAATCTCACATTATCAGGGCTTAGAGAAAAAACATCAGACATATTGGGCTTTCTGAAGCCTTCCGGAGCTCTCACTGCTTAGTGTAAGTATGTGTCACAGTACACTCAATCACAGTACACTCAAACATTTTAGCTGCCTGCACAACTGTACCTTTTTCCTATTTAATAACTCCAATTCAAAAACTCCAAATCAAAACAGGAAAAACACTACTGCAATACAACAAATTGGTAGAGATTTTACAAATAAAGAAGTTTATAAACTAACTACTGTGATATGACCACTGTGCTATACTTAAGGCTATGAAGTAAAAAAAAAACATAGAACAATACAAAGTATTATGACACAGTTATGGATACTCTGGGAAGCATAACTATGAAGTTTTTTATTTTGATGTGTGTAAAATGTTAACTGGAATACTACCATCAATTTCTGACACAATGGTTTATTATACTTTTCTATTTTTTTTTTTAGAAGTAAAGTAATATATTAGGTAACTGCTTTCCATTTTAAAGAAACTTCCTCATTTATTTTTTTCAATTGTCTTTTGTTAAATGGGGAAATATACTTTAAATTAAAACAAAGACAGGTGTTTCTTATCTGTGGGTTCTTATAATTATTGTGTGGGTATGTGTGGGGTGTGGGTATGGTGCGGGTAGGGGTGTGGGAGGGGTGTGGGTGTATGTGTGGCATGTGTGGGGTGTGTGTGGTTGAGGTGTGGGGTACATGGGACTATTAGGCATGTGTGTGGGTATGGTGAGGGTGGGGTGTGTGTGGGTGTGGGGTGTATGTGTGGATGTGTGTGGTGTTTGGGACTGTTGGATGCGTGTGGGTAGGGTGGGGGTGGAGTGTGTCAGGGGGTGTGGGTGCATGTGTGGGGAGTTGTAGCTGTATGTGTGGTGGGAAGGTGAGTATATGTGTGAATGTGTGTGTGTGGGAGATGTATGTGGTTGAAGTGGGAGGTGTGTGTGTGGGTATGGTGAGGGTGTGTGTGTGAGTATGTTGTGGTGTGTGGTTGGAGTGTGGGTTAAATGGATCAGTGTTGAGTGTGTGTGGGTATGGTGGAGGGTGGGGTGTGTGAGGGGGTGTAGCTGCATGTGTGGGGTGTGGTTGGGTTGGGTACGTGTGTGTGGGGGGCACTTCCTCCCCCACCAGTTTCCCCCCTGCCTGCTGTTTATGACGTGGCTGAGCCCAGCCCCTCCTCCGGTTGGGGGAGGGGAAGGGAGAATCAGCACTACCTGTCTGGCTTGCAGCATGCTGCAAAGGGTGGGAAAGCAGATGCCATTGGCAGGCAGCAAAAGAAGCCCCTAGGAGAGGGGAGCAGGTCAGGGAGGGTGTGCTGAGCCTGGCACCCTTGGTCTCTGTCCCACACCTGTCCAGCGGGGCTGCAGCCAAGCCTGCACTGGCTGCTGCTGCTTCCAGTCCATGTGTCTGCCTGGCGAGGCTGCACCAAGTGCATGCCGTCTCCTGCTGATGCTCTTGCCCGGCAGGGCTGCATTGGCTCCTGCTGCTACTCCCACTCCACCTGCTTGTCCCGTGCCTGTCCGGTGGAGCTTTGTGAGCAACCAAGCTCCTTTACCCGCCACCCCGCCTCCATCCACATGCTCCTCCACCCAGCCATGCACGAGCAGGACCAAAGTGAACTGCAGGCCCAGCCCACCCTTCCTCTCAAGGCTGCTTTCCCTCCCTACTTGCTGCCCGAAGCACTGCAGCAAGGACAGGAGTCGTCGTCACTGGAGGCTGGGGGGTCCAGCAGCTCCCTGGCCAGTGGCAGCAGCCGCCCTGCCCGAAAACTGTGCCTTCTGGCCAGGGCTGGCACTGTCTGGTGGGGGAGGCTGGGAGTGCAACACGTGCTGGCCCAAGTGGGAGCGGGTGAGACTCAGCCCCATGCAGAGCACAGCAGGGGCAGCCACTGGCAAGGCGAGATACAATTATTTGGTGGGTGCCTGCCTGTGGGCTAGATCCAATCAGCTGGTGGGCCAAATGCAGCCCGCAGGTTGTATTTTGCCCACTCCTGCATTAACATCTTAAAGTGGTTTTAAGTACCTATTATGTGGCTCAAAGTTATGCCACTCCACAGCAGGATTCTCTCTGATCTGGACTTCCCAGCTCTGTTTCATTAAGGTGTGGCCATTCCCCACAGATGTGCCATTCAAGTGGAAGTCCTCCAGTAACCCAGGATCTCTCAAACCCCTGGCCCTACAGCAGGGATTTCTATCCTGTCCTGACTCACCAGCCCTCTAGTGGCAACTGACAGCTACAGCTCTTAGTTGTGCCTCTGCTCATCAGATCTTTAGTGGCAAATCACAGCTATGCAGGTCAGGGACAGTCAGAGAAGGTTTCTAGACTAAGGGTAACTGCTCCAAACTCCAAGCTAGCACTAACACAAATCAACATTTGTGTGGCTCAGAGTGTAAGGTATAACAAGGCCATGAAGTTTAAGTACTTGACTTTAAGTACATGCATTATTCAATCTTTAGTCATCAGCACTCTTAACCACGTGTATACTTTTAAGACTTGTGATAAAATCCTGTTGAAAGCTAATGGGAGTTTAATATTTGCTTTGCTGATCAGGAATGGGATTGCTCATATGCTTGAAGTCATGTACATGCTCACGTGCTTTGCTGAATTAGATATTAGGGAACAATTGCATGATATTCCAAACAAAATGAATATATATTTAAGAATATGGTACTGCCTCTGCCAACCAGAATTAAAGAAGGTAAATAATGAAAAGAGTAGGCGCACACTTATTTATTATTTTTTATTACAATACCTCCCTACTGAGATGAGTGCTACAGCTGAGTAGGAGTATAGTCCTTTCTCTCAAGAGCTGAGTAGCTAAATTCAAATCAAATGTAGCAATGGGCATAACAAAGAAGAGAGAGGAGTTTGTGGAATTATGAGTGGTAAGAACACATATGGTTTGAAACGATAAAAACCTTCATTTTACTCTGTTGCTTATAATTCCCCTCCCCATCCTGAGAATAAAAAACCCCACACACACTGGACATCAGTAGACAAGCAGCTCATTCCTTTCAGCAAGTAAAATGAAGGTATTTTATTTTAAACTTCTCCCAGGAATTCCTGGTATAGTTTACCTTAATGCAAAATTACATTTTGTGCATTTATTTACATAGTTTGCACTGGCAGATGATAGATCTGCACATTACACATCTCACTCCCTTCCTGAACTTTCAACTTTGTGTACCAGTGTGTACAAAGTGTGTGTGTGTAAAGATGAGTGTGTTATCTTATTAAACTTATTCAAGTGGGTCTTGTGCATAGGCCAACAAATTCCTTGCATTTCTTACTTCAGTGCGAGTGGACAAAGGTGAAGACAGATAATGAAACCTTAAATAGAATTTACTTACAGAACTCTGTTACTGAGAACAGATTGGAATATGATATGGTACTGGAAGTGCTTTGTGAAAA